TATATATATATTTAATCGTATGTTGATTTTCATTCCAAAACTCCGAGTTTTTTACTTTGAATTTGTCTTTTTCAAAAATATTTGGTTTTGGATGAAAGTTGATAAGCTTGGTCCCAAATTATCTTTTTGAATTATCAAAATGTTTTTGGTTTCGATGCAGTTTTTAACTTGTTAGTCGTTTATTTATTTCCCTTTCACCTAATTCGGATGGCTTTTGATTTCAGTTTACATTCATCAGTTGTATTTCCTGTTGTTTTTCACATATTAAATTTTTATATGAGTTCAATTATTGTAACTTAATTTGAAGTGAAAATGAAAAAATATATGATCTGAAACTTCATGTTAATGCATTCCCAAATATTTTTTTATCGAAATTACAGGAAAATTATTCTCTGAAGCATAAAATTCTGAGTTTTAAAGCGGTATTTCGATGTTTATGCGCAGCGCAAATATATTGTATTCAAATCATTATTACTCCATCACTTCGAAATATAAAATAATCAACTTTCTTAAACAAGAACACTTCTATTGCAGAGATTACTCAATAAAATCATCTGGTAATGTTGTTTTTGATCATTACTTCCTAACGGTTTCCCACTTTATTCGAATATTATTTTTGAAATTGTACTTTATATATTTAAAAAAAGAGTGAGGTATGGCAACAGGATAATCAGTAACGCAGTCAAATGGAATTTAATCGAAACAGGTATTGTCCTATCCTATCCATTGTAATAGTAGTTCTAATCCATTGAAATTGTCTCTCATGTTTTAATTATTCTTTTTCTGTTGCTTTTATTGATATGATATGCGTTCGAATCGAAATAACAATTTTGCTCAGAACTATTATAATGTATTAACGGTACCATCATTTCTGTCACGAAGAAGACTGTTGATTGATTTTAAAATCTTTTTGTACAACTCTTCTGGATTAGAACCCACCGTTGCATGTTTTTTAGAAGTTGCAGATCTTAATGTATCTTACATTTAAGTGCAACGCTTTTGATTCTAATTTGTTCTTTTTTCTATGTCGAATATATATTTAGAAGAGTCGGTGCTTAATTTTGAAAGTTTATTTTAGCTTTTATGTATTTACTGTTTTGCACTGCATAATGCATTTGTGCACTTTTGACAAAATTGGAAATGTTTCTTTCTTGTGTTACTGATTTATTTCATTTTCAACTTATTAAATGAGTAAAAAATAAACAAAATGAATGGGCATGCTGAGTTTTTGGAGGCTTGAAATTGTCATGAACAATATTGAGCCTTATTTTAGGACAGAGCAAAAAGATGATGTTGCAAATGCATTCATCACTAGAAGAGGCTCCAGTAAAAGTAATTAAAGGTGATCTTACCTGTCATATGAATTAATAATTCAATATAAATTGATAATCTAATCATATCTTTATAAGCACAGATTAAATTGCACACTTCAAGAATCTTATAAGGTCATATCTTTGAGTGTTCATGAATAACCTATGAAAAGTGAACATGTTGTAGATTTAAACAATAAAATTTTTTTGACAAGGATTGAAAATTGAATTTTTGAGCTAAAAAAATGTTTTTTCAATCGCACTTTTATTGGAGGTAAAAAGTTGATTGTTATTAAGTGTGATAAAACTGCTAATAGGATCAATTTTCCCAGTGAAGAACAATTTTTAAGAGTAATTTTTAACAAAGAAAAAAAAAACTGAATGGGCGACAAATATTTGCCAATAAAAAAATAACAAGAAAAAGTTGACATTATATTTGACATTTATTTAAAAGTATTATTCTCATGAAGCTATTCCGTACCTCCCAAATGTACATTATTTCTTCAAATTAATTGTTGGATTGTAAAATAATAAACAGTGGAATTATATTTTATTAATGAAGAAGGAATTTTGTAGATGAGAATGAACGCAGTGGACAAGCAAATTTCACTACTGCCTATACGACACCTGGACCGAAGGAAAGAAATTCGAGTGAAATGAAAAAAGTTCATAAAATTTCTTATTCTTTTCAATGCAAAACATTCGGAGTGATATTTCACGTTTTCAAATGTCTTATTATCTAAAAATCTGTCAGAGAATTTGAACATATTATCCAATACAAGTTACCTCAATACGATTTTGATGCTAAAATTTTGCTTTTCAAGCAATAGGCCAAGGTTTCATTGTTTCAGGCCAATTTAGGAGTAATGCTGGGTGTATATTTGCCAACAATCCAACATATTCTTGGAGTAACAATGTTCATACGACTGGCATGGATAGTTGGGATAGCTGGCATAATAGATACTATGATTTTGCTACTACTTTGCTGCTTATGTGTATATATGATTTTTTATGCATTCTAAATTTACAGGCTTACAATTTTAATTTGATAGTCGACATGTAAAATGCGTGAAATCTAAGTGATCCTAAAGGATATATTGATAATTAAAACATGACAGATATTATTTTAAATGGTACTTCATTAATTTGAATGGACGTTGGCGAAGTTCCATTACAGACATTGTTGACAAGCATTTCATTATCAGCCGTAGCAACAAATGGTATTGTGGAAAGCGGAGGAGTTTATTTTATGATCTCGAGAAATTTGGGGTCAGAATTTGGCAGTGCTGTGGGTATTTTGTTCTATTTAGCGAATACAGTCGCATCGTCGATGTATCTAATTGGCGGAATTGAAGTGATGCTGGTAAAATTCTTGTGAAAATATAGCATTACCTCTTTTCTCTTTAATATCTCTAAATGAAGTATTGTCTTAGTTAATGAAAGAAAATAATAGTTTTATAATCACCTAAATATCTTTTAATGATTTCTTAATCAAATTAATAATTGGTGTTCATAACAACGAGAAATGAGAGTTTTTTTTTTATTTTTCAAAATAAAAAGTTACATATGATGCTTTTTTTTTCTCAACCTTGACTAATTAAACTTTTGAATTTCTTTTCAGCTCTACATTTTTCCATCTTTAACTATTGGTGGTAACAATGTGCACTCTGACACCGGTTTGATTTTTTTCAAGATGTTAAGCGCTAACTTAAAGTATGAGAGCCAGAAACAATCTGGAATCCTTGCTAACTTCTTTAGAATTTCACCATATTTTTTTTTGAAATTTTAAGGAATGTGGGGAATGATGTCACATAATTATCGCATATACGGTTCAATACTTCTTCTACTGGAAGTGATAATCGTCGCTATGGGTGTACGATTTGTGCAGCTCCTTGCACCGGTTTGTTTTTAAGAAAAACGAATTACAGTTTTTGGAGCTTTTTGAACATCTCAGTCAAAAGTTTCAGGAAATATAAAGATTGATAGATTAAATTGATTGATAGATCAATGAGTTTGATCTATCGATTAATAGGTCAAAAGGCCATGCTTTTTTGTTAATGGTATCTGATTCATTTTTGTTAATGCGTTTCGGTTTTGCTCAAAAATTTCCTGTTGCAATCTGCAGGTATCTCTATTCGTCGTAATTGTTTCTATACTAGCATGCTTTGCGGGCGGTATCGAAAAAGCGATTCATCAAAACGGCCAGCAGTATGCTTTTATCAAACTTTCATTCATTATGACCAATCGGTATTTAATTCTTTAGTACAAATATCTCCTTACATTTCCATCAGTTGATGCTATCGAGTTCAAAAATTATTAAATTACAGTGTATGCATGCTGAACGAACAACTTCTTCAATCACGAATATTTTTTCCGCATGGCGCCGATCTGTCTACTGTTTGCAAACGATGTGTTAAATCTGAAGAGTACATTTTACTTCGCTCTAATTTTCATTCATGGTATAATGATAAATTGATGATCACTGTGACTATTTTTTACCATTTATAAATTGCTTAATCTTAATTCAGATGACTTAAAAATTTCAGTATCTCAGATGACTTCTGCAACAGTACAACGGCATCCTTTTGTACACACTTCACAGCATCAACCCTGACATGCACCAATGCATTTCCTGGCATCAATGCACAAACTTTTTACGGTAACTATACATTTCATTTAAAATGTATGACTAAATGTAACTATATTTATTTCATATAATGTTACGGTTTCCACTCGCCTGTATTCACGTTTCTAATAGAACAGCCTAAAGATGTTTGAACTTAAAAAAAAAAATGAAGAAATCTTAAGAGAGATAATCCGGCTAAGCCATCTTAGAATGGATAATCATTAAAGTTAGATCTTCGTTGCACATTCAATTGATAACTAGAAGTTGCAGATAATATGAAGCGGATGTATATGGAAGCAGGCGAATCTTATCCAAACATACCGGCTGATGATACCGGATTAGAAGTTTCTCAGGATTTTCGCACAAGCTTTTTCATCTTGCTTGCTATTTACTTTCCAGCTGTCACTGATATTATGACCGGAACAAATATGAGCGGTCAATTTCATAATGATTTAATTCATAGAATATCAGCATTTCAAATAGTGTATGAAGATGCACTGCTTCGGTTCATACCTCAGTAAATTAGCAGCTAAATGGAGGCGTTAAGTGGAACAAGCCTGTTACGGATGCAAATATAGGGTGGAACAACGAGGCAATATAAAAGCATTAAAGTCACGATAATTCCGCACCTAATAATCTTGAACTCCAACTGTTTGTTAACTTGTTTAATATAGTTTGAATGATGGAGATAGCGTTCTGTGCAGAATTCGTTTCCAAAATCTTAATTTCATCAGTTATGAATTACCGGAATCCAAAACGATGCAAAGACGGAGAGAAAGTAGCTTCCAGACTTTTTCCTCGAGACTTACTAATTTCTTAGTGGTGCGTAGTAACAGTGCTTTATGCCTTGTTTAGCATGTCGAAAATGATTTGTTATAAGTTCACGATGTATTGAAAATGACTTCAGGCCATGCACATCAGTACGTCTAGAACTGAATTGATCAATTAAAAGTTGTTTGGCAAATTTTCTTAAAACATTTCTTCTTTCGCTCATTTCTGGGAGTAAAAACTAATAATCTAATTCACAGATTTTCATGTTTAAAGCTTTCCAAAAAAAGTTGGAAATTTATGATTCATATATGGAAAAGCTTAGAGAATTATTGAAAGGTACACAAAATAAGAAATTTCAGGTGACTTAAAAGATTCGCAAAAGTCGATTCCGTATGGTACAATCGCCGCAACATTAACAACATCCGCAATTTATTATGCCTTAGCTTTACTATTCGGTGCCTCAATCATTGGACCAGTTCTACGTGACAAGTTTTTTTTACATTTAATTAATGCTGCTGACTCATGTTCCTTCTGATGGACACTAATATTAATAATAAATGATAATAATAAACAATAATGATAGCATTAATAATAAATAATAATAAGTTGATAATTATTTGGACAGCTTTATAAAAATACAAACTATCAACAACAATCTATCTGATAAGCAAAAAAATGCTAGTATTTTAGGACATGACTATAATCTGAAGAATTAAAATTAACAAGCAACCCATAAATTACAGATATGGACGAAGCTTGGATAGTTCAATGATTGTAGCCCTGTTGTCTTGGCCCTCGCCGTGGATTGTTATCACTGGCTCTTTTTTGTCCACATTTGGTGCTGCTTTACAGTGCTTATGTAGTATGTTTTTGAATTTTTAAATAGAAATTTTACATATGATAGAAATAAAAGGTTCTAAACGGAATAATATAAATTGATTTAAAATACAAAACTTTTTTAAAAATATTTCCTTGGATTGAAATATTGAAAGTATTGGAATATAATAATTTGTGAGAAATGTTTATTAAAGCGAAAACTTTTCAGATATTTAGCTTATTTTCTATTGATCGTATGTTGAATATAATAATATATCGAGTTTTAGAAGAAATCTGTGATACTCTTTTGATTCATTCTTTGCTATAAAAAACTTGGAAAGACAATAAAAAAAGAAAAATTAAAAAAAACTGAATAGTAACAACTTGGTCAGAGTGATATTGTCCTTTTAAAGATTAAAAAGCACCGGTGCCAATTAAATTCAGTACATCTAAAAATAATTCTTCAATTTTTCAATTGTTTTAAAGCTATATGTTATTCTCGGCTTAATTTTTTGATATGTCAGTTGAAATTATAGAATCATACGTCTTCAGAAGTAAGTTTTGATATTGTTGCAGGTGCACCACGCTTATTACAATCAATTGCTAAAGATGATGTTATACCAGCATTGGCACCGTTTTCCAAAGTTACAAGAACTAATGAACCATTTCTTGGGTAACTCCTTAAAGTTTTTTAGTAAGGCATTATTGCATTATCGCGAAAAATGAAACATGAAGGATAACTAATCAAAAGTAGTTTCAAAAGTAGTTTCTTCTGGCTAATTGAACCAAATAATTTTAGTATATTTTAAGACTTGTTACTCTATCAACTTTTGCTGATTTACTCTAAATTTCAGCTTGCTGATAACAGCGCTAATAGCAGAATTTGCTATATTGCTTGGTGCGGTGGATAAAATTGCTGAAGTATTGGATTTTTTCTTTTTGATGTGTTACGCATTTGTGAACTTAATTTGCGCGCTACATTCACTATTGAAAGCACCAAACTGGAGACCGCGATTTCGTTACTATCACTGGTACCATTTATTACTTATCTTTCAGTATCACATGATCAGCTGAAAATGAATGACAGAACCTCTGGTAGGAAAATTGTGCTTATGAGCTTGCAGTCCCAGTTTTGCGTTAAATCTTTTTATCATAACTTGTTTTATCAGATTAATTCGAAACAGTTTAACATCTCGCTAGACCGGATTTCTTTAAAAGCGATTATTAGTATTTTCAGGTCCTTATCACTTACCGGTGCAGCTCTGTGTTTCTTTATAATGTTTGTATCACAATGGCAGTATGCAGTACTTTCAATCATTTTAACTTTTGTTATCTACAAGTATGTGGAATGGAAAGGGTAAAAATAGTTTATTTTCATAGAATTAAGTAATCAATGGATAAATAGAAATAAGTAAATAAATAAATAATCAAGAGATGCAGTCATTCTATAAATTAAACTAATCGTTTGTTTAAAAAAAATGGAAATTTTGCAGAGCTAAGAAGGAATGGGGTGATGGAATACGAGGTTTGGCATTATCAACAGCGCAGTATAGTTTGCTAAAAGTTGAGGACAAAGATCCACATCCGAAAAACTGGCGGTAAGCAAAGAAAGGAGGATAAAATATATAAAATTGGAATTATGATATACTGAAAATAGATATGAAATGGATGGAAAATACGAGTAGTAATTAAGCAAATAATTAACAAATCAACAAACAGAAAAGGAGTTATCAAAAGTGAATGTGTAGTTGAAGTTTTTGATTATTTTTCAGGCCACAATTGCTTGTTCTTGTGTATGATACTTGGTCCAAAGGTATCATTGATAAGCAGAATGTTAATTTAATTAATTTGGCTGGACAGTTAAAAGCAGGGCGTGGTTTAGCTATTGTGGTGGCGCTCATAAAAGGTTCTGTTTGGAATTATGACGATAGACAGAAAGCTGAAAAGGTGAATTTAACAGTCCCCGTTCTCAACATTCATCTTTGAAAACAAAACATGGAAGTACCAAAAAAAGTGCTAATTTTAAGGTGAAGGAAAGTATTCAACAAAATATGTCACGAGTTCATTTGCGTGGTTTCGGCAAAACGTTACTTTTTGATGAAAATCAGGTAAATTGACACAATTTTTCAACAAAATTCGGTTTTGATTAAGGCATTAACTTTAGAGAATAAATACGCCTCGATTTCATTCTTGTGAAGTTTCAGAGATCCAAAATCGACGGTTAAGAATGTTGAAATTTTTAGAAGAAGAGTTTAAATATTCTTTAAAAATCTTTTAGACATTTTGATTTTACTATCTGAAAATAGATATGGGAAGGAGTATATGATAAGCAGCTTTTTAGATGGACGGATGTTTTACGACATTGTTTCAAAGTATTGGTATCGGTGGTTTGAAACCCAACACTGTGTTAATGAATTGGCCTGAAAGAGAGGAGGAAAATGCAATCTTTACCGGTATAAGTATCTCACAAAAAAAAGTTTTTAATCTTATGTTTGCATTTATTAATTTGTTGCAGAAAATGATATGAAAGTTTGTTACTTTAGGAAGAAAAAATGATTTGAAATGTGTTTATTAAAAAGAAAGAAAACATTCATTAAATACTTATTAAAACATTAGAAATAATAAATACCACTAAATAGTTATATATTATCAAAAATTTCAATTTTCTTTTAAATTCAGTGGAGTTAGTTGAAGCTGTAGCAAATGGTGAATGTATAATGTTGGCAAAAGGTATCACAGCATTTCCATCATCCTCCAGTGATCGGCTAATGGGTTACATTGATATCTGGTGGATTTTACATGATGGCGATCTGCTTATGTTGACTGCATTTCTTCTCAAACAACATAAGGTGCCTTACTTCAAAATTATCTGCCACGGTATCACAGTTATCCTTATTTAATCACTTGTCACTTGAAAATTGAATATTTTGCTTGTTTAATCTTATTTGCGGGCTGAGAAAAAAAGCTGAAAGGTTATGAATTGTGAGTACAAATTAGTTTCATTCATTGCATAATGATTAGAACAAACGTGCATGAATTTAGGTATGGCGAGGATGTAAACTAAGAATTTTCGCAATTGCTGAAATATCAGAAAAGAATGTTGAATTGAAAGCAACGCTGCAAAAATATATTTATATGTTACGCATCGATGCAACAGTTTTTGTAAACTTTTCCTAATTTCATTAATTTTCCATTTTTTTTATTGAGGACAAAAGTGAAAAATTTTTTAGTCCAATCATTCAATAATCTCAAATTTTGAATTTTCAAAACTTGTTTTTTAGGTATTTACCAAGTGCATTTTGTAAAATATTTAGATAGTGAATGACAAAGTGAATGAAAATGATGTATCGGAAACTTCGAGTGGACAAACCCTGATGGTTAGATTTATACCTGAGAAAAAACCACCCTTAAATATTCTTTCACTTATTTAAAAGAATGCTTGTAATTGCTGTACGAGCTGACCTAACAATGACCAAATGATATTTTTGTTACTCGAAAGATTTTTTAAAATGCGTATGAGTTCATTGGAATGTGCTAAACCACGCTTCTGACGATGATCAAATAAAGGAACCTACAATGGAAGAGTTGCTTTTCCAATTAAAAAATCTATAGGAACAAGTTTTTTCGATATGAAAATTTCATCTTAAAAATTAAAAAGTATAATTAAACTGAAAAAATTCCACTACTTCTTTTATTCATAAATTCTGATTGCTTTCAGATTACCATCAAAGAAAGAAAATTTGGGAACAAAAACAAAAAATCCGATAAAAGTCCGTTTTTTCATGCAATTATTAAAATATTTTTGAACTATTTTTTGTGTTTTCTGTTGTTTACTTTTGTTAGTCACTTCTCAAATTGTCTTTTATCTCTTCATTATTTTATTCGTTTTTCTCGTTATTTGCATACCGTTTTTTTCACCTATTCAATACATTTCATTCTTTCATCGTTTTTATACCTGCTCCTTTCAAATTTCTCTATTTATTTTCACTTTTTTCTCGCACTTTTAAAAATTTAACACTTTTCATCCCATTACTTTCTCCCAGCAAAAAAATTTTTTCGAAATGCTTAATACTGTTTAGTAAATTAAATGCAAATTTAAGGTGTTGCTGATGAGGATAATGTAATACAAGCAGTAACAACTTTTACCCAGTAAGTGATTATGCATTTTTAAACTACAAATTTGACTATAAGTATTTGACCTGTAAAAATCATAGAGAAAAATAGTTTTAAAAACTGATAAACAATTGCTTTCAGGAATGGTTCATCTTCATTTTCAATGGGTTATTTATCGGTTTACAATCAAGGCGAAAAAGACTTTCATGATGATGAAAACTGGGAGGTGGTTAAAGAATTATTTAAAAAATTCTTTAAAAATATGAATCTTTTTCATTAAACAGATAATTAAGCAAGAAAAAAGCTTCTTCATGAAAGAACAAATAATTGAATGAGAATCATTTAAAAGAATATATTAAATTAAATGATGCTTATTATGCAAATATGGATTATTTATTTGTCGTTTTTTATCTTCTCGTCAAAGAGATTTCTTTATAATATGAAATCATTTGAAGCATCAAAGACAAAGTCATTAAAAGCTTTTTTTTAAGTTAGCTGTTTTATTTTCCAGGAAAAATTGGAAACAGTAAAACGTTTCAACGATGTTATCGTGAAAAATTCGAAAGATTCACAATTGGTCCTTTTGAGTCTTCCTCGCCCACCGATCAGTAAGGAAAAAATATTGTCGCATTATATGTTTGCCATCGATTCACTCACTCTGAATCTTCAGCGAATTCTTTTCATTGGTGGTAGTGGCAAAGAAGTTGTGACAATCAATTCCTGATACGACAAAATGTTGAGTTGAAAGTTCGCTTTCGTGAAACCTCACCATTTTTTCCTGAAAGGATCAATTTTTCTTTTCAATCGTTTTTCTATCTTAATTTTTCTTGACAATACGATAATTCACTGTTTAATATTATATAATAGTAATGAGAATAGCTTGAAAGAGATTATAGAATGGCTAAAGTCATCTGTTTGCAATTAAACTCGAAAAGAAGTAAAAACTACAGAAGCAATGATTTACTGAAGTGAATCTCTTTTTAATTTTTATTGTGTCAAAAGTGAATCGCTTTTTAACTTTTATTGTATCAAAATATAATTATTAGAGTCGTTAATTGACTATTTTAATTTGGAACTTCTCATATGGCATTGTATCATATTTTTCTCAGGCTTTAACTCTATGGTCATAGTTTTTATATTGCTGACAGGATCCTCTTCTATAGCTATGAAATATTTTTAAATACCATAAATTAGCATTGAAATTCTGCAAGTAATTCGTTACAATGTTTAAAATAAAAATTCTTCAATAGATTTGGAAATGGCATCAATTTCCGAGCACATATTTTGAAAATGTTAATTCAGAAGAAGAGGGGGAGGGAGCAGGTCATTGATCAGGTAAGTTCTACAAACTTTGTATTATGTGTGCTTTTAGACGACGGTAGAGTTCGTTAAAATTTATATCTCTAACAGTTTTTTTTTAAATCATTTATTTCTAAGTTAATTGATGTAGATGGCATTGATTTTCATAAAAATGTGATGCGCTAATTTGGGTGATTTGTTTGAGAAGGTTTGATCAATTTCGGTAAAAATATGGATTGCTTGATCAAATATTGATCGGAAAAGAAATTTTGTTCCAAATTTCTACTTCACTCAAATTTCCATTTTTTTAAAAGGAAAAATTAAACAGTGCTTTTGTCTTTTCAACAGAAAAGAGTGAAAATACTGCAGTTTCGAAATTTAGAATGACGTTTTTATTGAATGATAAAAAGAAAAAGAAAAAATTTGTAGACACAAAACGCCAAAGAGATTTTTCAAATTTGGTAAACTGGAATTGTACTAAAGGAAAAGAAACTTGTACTTATTAGAATGACGAACTTATGATGCCTTAATGTTGTCCTGAAATTATCTGCAAATTTTTGTTACATTGTAAGTGTATGTGTAAGCCATTTTACAAGTGCAAGAAAGTTTCTTCATTAATTTAAAGTTTATAGACTGCTTTCATATGGTAAAAAAATCATTACTTCTACTGTTATTTTAGGCTGGAACTGCCAGCATTTGTCACAAAAACAAATAAATGAAAATGAATGAAATTTTGCAAATAAATGAAAGTATTGGCTAAAACATCCTGCAATCCTAGCAGATCACTCTGTAATGTAAGAGGCCTTATATGCATAACACTGTCATTTCAAATGGTGAATTGAGATGGATCAAAAATTGGAAGATAAAAGATTTATTATTATTTTCATTTTTCATAGGAAATATTGGAATACGAGCTAACAACTGATTGTATCCATTACTTACATTATTCTATTCTTTCCTCATCGCTCTGTTTCAGTTACATTCATCATAAATATACTATTTGGTAAAACGGCTTGTTGATGTATTCCAAAAAAGGTATATAAATTTTGTGCATCCTAAAAAAACAATTTGACATACAGGTATTGAATTATCTTCAAAACAATATTATATCGCAGATGCTATAAGAAAGAAGGAAGACCGAGTAATGTTGAAATGACTCGAACTAATAAATTCCAATTAACCTTTGTATACTTCTGATATAATGTTTGTTCGTTGCGTCTAGTAGTTTCCATTTCCGACATTCGTAATACTTTGATGCTGTCTATATAACACTGCAATTAAGATATTCTATTTTTTTCAAATAATTTTATCTTTATTAATTTAAAATAATTTTATCTTCTCAAAAAATCGTATTTGTTTCAAACAATTTTTAACTATAAATTGAGGTAAGAGAAGCAAGGAGAAGGAAGAAATACAAAAAGTAATAGCGATAAATGTACTGAATTGAATTTGTATACAATCAGCTTTTATTTTTAATTAGTCAAATTAGCCAAAGTAGTCAATTAATCAATCAACTAACAAATTAATTAATTACTTTTGCAACCTGATCATTTGAACTAAATTTATCTAACCTGATACATTTGTTTGTGTTTCTTTGCTCTGATAAGTGCATTACCTCGTAGCCAAAAAAATCGTAAAACACCTCCAATGAATAGTACAGTACATGCAGCGATAAACAATATAATGAGGATTGTATTGAATAATGATAGTCCATAAACCATCTAAAAAGTCTTTGCAGCTTTCTTTTGTTTACTCTTCGTATAAACAAAATAATAATAGGAAGATCACTAATAATTAATTAAATATAAATGCATCTCATCCATGAAATTTAAGTGTTTTAGCGTTTTTTGAATTTTGAAGAGATTCAAATCAATTTAGTAAATTTAAAAAAAAAAGGAAATTATGGTTGAGGCGTAACATGTATCTTTCTTTGCAAACAATTTAAAATTGAAAGCAACAATGAATTTTTCTTATACTTTTGAATAACATTCTCAGAATTTCAAAATAAGATGGGAATAAACTATTTTCATGTAAATCATTTTATTCAAGCTGTCATTCAATTTCCCTGCACATAAAAGACCGTAAAATAATTCAAAAAAATCCGTATCGTGTAGTGATAAAAGATCAGCTGTCAAGCATATTAATGAAATTGAATTACTGAAGATAAAAACAGAAAAAAAAAGAAGAAAATTTCCCTAATCGATAATCGCATTTTGCTTCGCTTTCAAAGCATTTTATTAAAGTGTAGCAGTATTTATAATTAATTTAATATACTGAATCCTGTCGTTGTGCAAACTGATAAAATTATGTGGAAACATGCCATTGATTTCGTCGATATTAAAACTTTCCATTCGTGTTGTAACATTAAATTGTTGCCGGCTGCATTTGTCAGGATCAATTGCGGAAATTTTCTGCTCATAATCTCAAAAATAGAAATATCAAATGAAATTTTCGAAAATTTGTTAAAATCTAATTGAGACTTTCAAATGCTCCTATACAGCTTCTGTGTTAGAGCATTCACAAGTTCCATTTTGGAATATTATTTTTTTTTAATTCCATAATAATCTTGTAATGGTTCCAACAGTTTCTGTAGCATCACTGCGATTCAGTTCACAATAAAAATGAATCTATTTTGTTTCTTGCCAATAATTTGTTTATATAAATTCAAAATAATTTAAAATATACAGCGAGAAAATCCTGAAGCTGTCTTTTATCACTAAAAGGTGATACGATATCGCTTCCATTGAAAAACACTAATAAATTCGGTGACAAAACAATATGAATCTAAAAATGAATGCATATTTTCAAGCGAAGAAATATTTGATGAAGAATTTTTTTTAACATGAACCAGAATCTGATACTATTAGAAAAGGCTTCTAGCTGGCACTTTCTAGCTCTGAACTAAGAACTTTGAAATTTGTTTCAGTTTTTTTGGCAACCATACTGTATTCAGGTCATCCATCCAGTCTACAAATGCAGATAAGCCAAATAGCACCTCGTCAAAAAGCGCTCGAAGAATTTTTGCATACATAAGCAAACTCAAATTACAACTTTTCCTAAAATGAAATGAAGAAATTTATCCCACAAATTATAAAAAAAAGAAAGAAAGAATCGACCGCCGGACTTCTGGAACCACTGAATGTTAGATTGTGGGCAGTGAGAAATGAGACGACCATCTTGCAAGCTTGAAATGTACAAAAATGAGCACTTCATACATAATTCTCTTAATAAACATCGAGAGAGACATGACCGTGCATATTGCTACCCTCCAATAGTAAGTTACAATGCTTCAGTGGTGTGAACTTTGCCGTTGTTTGTAATCTGTGCGTGGTTGGGAGGGGGCGGTGGCAGTTGTCGGGGCATAGCGGGAAGACGGTTTCAATCTCGAGTTGATCCTCACTTTATGCTGATAATGGCCTGCACTTTTAATGATACTATACATCTAGCTAATATTTAAAACATATTTTTCCGTTCCAGTAAGTAGTCTATTCTCCTCTGTATACTACTCAGATCCCTTATCCTCTTCTGGTGTTGGTAGAAATCTAACTTATAGTTCAGATTTAGTCAGTTTTTTGGTTTGCATATCACCTTCGTTTTTTGGAAGTGCTTAATCTGTGCTTTCTAAGGTAAGCTGATTTTATTTTTTTTTACATTGATTTTTATACCAAATTTGAAGCTTTCATTAAATCTTCAGGTTTGATGAAGTATATATAAGGTTGACGACAGTTCATGTTGCGCTTATCGTTACTATCAGTTCTTCTGTTCTTCATCTCTTTCGCCCCTATTCATGTAAGCTTCGAGGTTTCATTTGCAAAGAAAATGTTGACGAAAATTTCGAAAGATTGCAATTTGGTATTAAAATAGACTGCGGGGCCGAGGTTCCGAATTCTAATTTATAAGAATATTTTTCGATAGTTTTAGTAAAGTTATTTATGACGTGCTTTCTATAAAGGGGTGAATTTAATCTCTTAAATTTGCAATTGGTAAAATGCACTGCTTTTGGAATCAAATAAAATTCTGCGGTAGCCTTTATAAGACATGAACTTACCTGTAATGATTTCAGGGAAATTTCGAAGATGCTCGGTGTCGTTGTGTTTGCCCATCTACAAAATATTTTGCATCGGAAAATCATACAGTGAGTGAGGAGAGAAGATATTACACAAAATCAAATATTAACGCACTCACATGGTAGAACATTTTTGCTAAATGTCATTGGAATATTTTTTTATTTGAATTCTAATTTATTAATGCTCTGAGAGTGCAGGACAGTTTCATGAAAATTTCTGGAATTTCATGAAACGCTTCATCAAAGCTTGATACCATTAATAACCAATTATGGAAAAGGAAGAAAGGAATTGTGAGAAGCATATTTTATCTTATCTGTTTAATGTAAATTTATTGGAGCTTATTTTTAATTTTACAGCAGACCACAAACAGTAGTGAAACCGAACGTTTTAAAGATAGTGGATGCTGCACATTTGGATGCATTTTTAGCAAACTGTGATTGCAAACATGAGTCGAGAAATACAGTTTTGCTGAAAGTATGTTTTACCTGCCACTTATTATGAGAATGAAGCGGAACATTTTTTCAATATCTCAAGGCTAATTTAAATTAGCATTTATGATTATTTGCTTTCCAACTCTACACTTAATATCCACTTAGTATGAGTTTCTTTTTTTCAGGTTGTTGTAATATTTGTTATTTGTGTAGTCTTCGTTTTGGTTACATACATGCTTTTCCTAATGTGTTTGAATCCTATGCTACGTAAACAACGTAATTCGGTGCCATATAGACAGCAAAACGATGAGGTATGTGAATAGTTTTATGAGGTAAAAAAACTCATGAGGATTTATCAAGAAGGTATGACTAAAGTTATTATAAATTTACAAATTTCTGTAGATATACTTTTTTACTTGACCAAGAATATTTTATTATAGATGGAAGACAATATTTTTGCTCGGACAACACCAGCGAATGATCGATTTTCAGATATTTCACCTTCAATCACCATGCGATCTCGAAACAGCAAGTTTTTTGCAAATTTTAACGATTACTATGACAATGACTATATGTTTCAGTGTCTCATAAGCATGAAATCTATCAGTTCATAAGAACGATTTTAAAAAGAAAGTGCATTCAAGGAGTGGATAATTTTCTGTTTAAAATCTGTTAAAAGAGCAGTTTTCCTCTGAAGATCAGTGTTTAAATTTAGTTGCAGACAATGTTCTGGGACGAGTTGAAGCCGAACAAAATCGCTGGATGCGAAAAGTTGAAGAACAACGGCGGAATATTTTCACGGATCATACTATGCTTAATTGATCGCTCCTTTCGTAAATTCTTACTTTGACGAATTGGCTTGGATTAGGATCGAGTCTCTGTCCCTGTGATTATTTGTAGATAATGTTTTTTTCTGTCCCTGTACTTATTTGTAGATAATTAGCAAAAACCAGAGGAAGTGAAGTTTTTGGAAACTTGTTTGCAGTACATCGATTGGAGCTAGATACTGCATACATCTAGTAATCGTGTTAGTAAATAAATTCTATTGACAAAATTAATACTTCTTGGACGTAAGTTTTGCAGCTTTTCTTTTTTTGAGATTATTAAATTTTGTTAGAAATTTCGGAATATGTCAATTATTTTATCTATGACTGTCATATATTGTTTGCAGATCGTAACTATCTTTGGTTTTGTTTGCTATGTATGTTTTTGCTCACATCTTTCTTTCCTTTCAACTGTTTCTACATTTATTTTGCAGTGAGTAGGAAATTATTCTCCTGACCTTTACTCGATTATGATGTCAACAGTTGAGAGAATGGAGTGAAATTTAGGATTTTTGAATCCTTAGAAAGGGTTTATTAACGTATTTTTTCGGTTCTCCATCCGTTTGGTTTTCGGGGTGTTTACACCCTATGAGATATAAGCATAAGTAACTGAAGTTTTTTCTCGTACAGCTTCTGTTGCTTGAATCAATGTGTTTTCTTAGGTTGAAGGTGGAGTAAGATTCTATGCCTAAATATGTTTCCATGTCATTACTAAATCACTTGCTAGCTGACCGAAATATATCTGCATTTCAAAAATTGATAGCTCAATGGCTATGCTAAATACAATCAGTTTGTTTGTTATTTTTGTGTGTAGTACTTTCGATCAACAGAAAAAAAGTACAGGAAACAAAACTGACTGTTTTCTCGGTTTCTTGATGTCAATGTTGTCTGTTATCTTAGAAATAGTGCTGCAATGATTATCTCAGTAAACGCTGCTTAGTTTCTAAAGTGTGTACTTAAATCATATAGTTAGTGATGAAACAATGTGAGCAGACTTTAGAATTTAACTTTGATCTTTTCTTTCTGATTAAATCATTGCTCGGCTCATATATGGAAATATTTTAAATATTTCGAGTTCAGCAACTCTGAATTAATCATAAATAAGGTGGAAATGAAGTAATATGCTATTGCAGAATATGTTGCAGAAATTTGTATTTCAGCAAGAGGGTAGCTAATCGAACAAAGGATATTGATTTAGAATTTCTGGGCAAAAGTTACGTGAATCTTGGAGAATTAGATGTGTATTTAACAATATGATGGTTTTATGAGTAAAAGATGTGAGCTCTAATAATTTTTGTTTTTGTTTAATTTATTCTTCAGGAATTTGCGAGATGGTGATTGGTTCAGGAACTCAATGATTATTAACTAAAAAGATAGCACTGCTGCTTGACTCCTTAATGCACTTGCATAAGTGTCATTCATGGAAAGCACAACTGTTATATTTTCTAAATATATGGTGTCTTATGGGATCGAAATGAAGTGAAAAAAATGTTTGATCTTAATTGAATGCTAATTTTTGTCAGTGCCCTTCGATTCTTTCTTCCCGATTGGCAAACAAAAATGAGAGCATGCTTCGATAGGAAAACACCAAAAGGAAATTAAAAAGATAAATAGCAAGAAAAAAGAAGTGACAAAGCAAGGGATTAGAGAAATGCATCCTGAAATAATATATGGATCAACTATTATTGATGTACTTTATAAGTGTTATTAGAAGAAACACTTCAACCTTTGAATTGACTTATTGGGCACTGAAATATGGTAACGATAACTTGTAAAAAAAAATATTTCGTTTCATTTTGAAAAGTAACAGTATTTTTGGCCATTTATTTCTCAGAGCTTCATCTGCCTTATCTGAGTTGTTTCAATTTCTCTTTTTTTTGTAGTAGTTGAATTGAATCAAGTGGCTTTTTTGTAGTAGTTGAATTGAATCAAGTGGGTCCACGTAACTAGCTGAAACTTTCAAATGGTCCTTTGTTATTGAAATTCATTAATTTTGGTGACTTAATGTAATCTAAAGTATAACTATGAATTGATTCTTTTATTTTTACGAATTATGAATTCATCCGAAAAGCCTAAGATGGAAATAATATATCTGAAAATGTTTCCTTTTTTAATAAATATGTACACTATGTTTTTATCTTTAAAACTGACAAAAATTTCGATTCTGCAATTTTATCTTTTGTTCCCTGAAATATTTTTTTATCTATCGGAGAGCAATGAGGAAGAAAAGATGCAACTTTGAGTGGCAGAATTCGGATTTGTGGCTTGCGGTTTTATCAAAGCCTAACGAAGAGATAGTGACAGGGAGATTGCGGCAATATAGTAAAGTTGAATAAGAAAGGTAAAAGCAATAAATCATTCTCTCACAAACATCGGAATTTAGCAAATCTTTAATTATTATGTTATATAGCACCCTGAAATCATATACTTCCATAAAGACTTACTTCGTTTTAATCTTTCAACTACCTTAGTGAAGCACTACTTTGGCGGAAAAACAGACCGAATCTACAATTTGATGAACTGTCGCGAGATTAGATATTACGAACATAACAAACTCATATTTTCATATTGGTTCTTTGCTTCATTTGAGTAGCTTTTGCACTATATTCCAAAATATATCAGTTCTTGTTTTTGTTTTTGAATCATTTAAAATGGATTTCAAATAGGTTTTATATATCTTTTTATAGAACTTATGGCAGCATATATTGCGAATTATTGGATAAGATAGAAAAATTTGTGACGATTATTGGATAAGATAGAAAATTTTGTGACGATTCGATACATATTGTTCCATGCAACAATAATTTAACGAGACCACAAAAATTTTCATTAAGCACCAATTGGTGCTTTTTTTGAATTAATAAAAGTTGAATAACTTTTGTTGTGTTGCTGAAAATGCTAGCGCACACTAAGCTTTCTTTGGTATTTATTGCTTATTAATCTAAGTAGTTTAGGGAAAGATGAAATTCTTCGTTATTAGAAGAATAAGAAAACATAATTTATGTGGAAGAATTAGAAAAACCAAATCAGTTGTCCCTGACGGTCACATGTCGACATTTTTCCATCAATACTGGACGTTATAAATCGAATTTCTTGATCAATTACTTGATGATACCACTTTCTGATAGATTTGTCAGCAATAAAAGTTGAGATTCAAACGGAAGTTAAACAATTTTGTGATATGTATGCAAAATTGTGAACATTCATTCGAATTCTACATGACTAATCGCTCTATGGTTTTTAATTAATATGATTTCCAATTCTAATTTAATTTTTCACAGAAGAAAAAAAAGCGTTAAAAAACGAAAAGTAGAATGGACGTGATGCGCTGCTCGCAGATATTTGTTTACATTGTATAATAACAAATTTCTTGATTGGTATTTCGGTGCCAAGGTTCATTTTTTCAAAATGAATCTTCAGGATTTTGAAAAAAAACGTGCATAATAATCTTTTTTGTTTTGTGATATCTAAATTTTGATTTTTTAATGCATTTGGGGTAATTTTTCGAGTGATTTTGGATTAACATTAGGGACAACAAATCTGATAACCATTATCATTTCAGCTATGACCTATCCTTCATACATTACTTTCAACACAAAGAATATAAAAAACAGAAAGCGATCGATATTTATTTCTAGCAACTGTCACATACAGTTCTTTTGACGTAATGCAATAGCTGTTACTTTAAATGATTGGATATAAAAAATTTCGTATTTTATGAGCATTGCAAAGTGATGACAGCAAAATTACAATTAAAAAATGATCATTACTGACGGAAAATTTTCGCAGAAATTTCCTCCAAAGTGTCAATTATTTTTCCTACGTGAAGTTTCATGATGCTTAGAAGAAATTAAAATTCAAAGAGCCGATGAAAAAAAATGGACAAACTCATCATAGATCCATATTTTCAGCGTAATTATATTTAACAAAGTGAATTATAAAAAAACAATTTTGAACAGAAAAGCCATTGTTTGCTGCCCGATAGTGGTTGGAATAGAATGAATGATGTATTTCAGTGGTGATAATGGTAATGTCGGTGGTGGTGTAGAGAGATCGGAAAACTCTTGTTGTTTTGTTGTTGTTATTGTTGTTGTTATTGTTGTTGTTATT